GTGCAGTTTTCATTTCTCACAGTTGTACTTCAAACCTCTGCTGTGCGAAAATGGTCTTTCAGGTGCTCATGAATTTCAATGATAAAAAGAATAAACCGCTACTAGTGGCAGAAGATGAGACCAACTTTCAAAAAACCACTATTTTGGATCTGAAGAAGAAATTTAAAGAAAAGATCCCTGGCGCACCAGGTAGGTTAAACTCGAGTTATTTTTATATTTTGAATTTAAATTGTAAGCAAGATATTATCTAAAACACACGACATTTGAGCATTTCAACTGCTTAAATAGCTATACGTTTTGAAATTGTACAACCTCTGTGGATATTGCTATATTAGCTGCATTTCCCATTGTATTTATATAGATCCAGACGATGTCAAGGTTATCTTCGGAAAAGACCCTTTGGAGGACAACCTGACAATTTCTTATTACAAAATTAAGCATTTATCTGTACTTTTAATTGTTATGAAGATGCCTGGTGGAGGTAGGACTTCTTACAACACTGATGCCAATTATAAATAGGCTATATAACAGTTTAAGACTTTTAAACGTTTTCAAAAGGTTTCTATTCCAAATATTTGTTTTCAAATAATCATAAAAAAAGTATGGTTTGCACAAAAATATCAAGTAGCACAAAAGTTGTCAAATGACACTCTTGCTAATCCTGTTTGTCTCCCTCCTAGATGTGTGTTCATGCAGACACGGATCTTGAAAACACTCTGGACTGAAAGGTCTTCTGACTTTGAAGTCGTCTGATGCTATATACTGTATATTAGTGATGATTTACTCCCTCTGTTGTGATTTAATTTAAAATGAATTGTTTATACTCTAGACAGTTCCTTCAAAATGTACCAAAAAGCAATGCTTAATTTAGAAAAAGTCTTTTGTACAGTGGTAATGCATTGCATGACATGGATTGTGATTTGTACATACTAATGAACTGGAACGCTCGTAACTTAAGAACATTTTAAGATAATAATGAACATGGAACATAAAATGTCCTCTGAAAGTTTCATTTAAATCAAGAGGAATGCAGCAGCAGTACAATAAATAAATAAATAGTCACATGTAGGCCTTTATTTGTTTCAGTTTTGTTCTCAGTACAATTCCTAGGTTCCTGTGGTTGATCTGACCTAGTTTACTTAGTTCCCATTTTCCCTCCACTACTTAGTTTCCATAGTTACTTGTTAGTTTTATCACATATGTAATTATGTTAGTTACTCTCCCTGTGTATTTAAATGTAAAGTTTCTTCACTTCAGTGTTCAGCCTCGTCGATGTTGAATGTGTGTAGATTGGTTCTTTATCTGTATGGATTAAAGCCCTTTTTGAATTTACTCTTTGTGTTGCTGTTTGAATCATACTATTTCAGTGTATTATGACATACATAAATAAAAAAGAAGCAGTAAAAACTCATGAGACACATCAGCTTGTTGTGCTGCATTTTCTTCTCAGTCAGCACTGAAGGTATGCATATGGCGTGAGCTGAGACTGTGCATTTACTCAAGACACAAAAGAAATGCTAACTCACAGGGACCCGGTTTCATGACGGCCCTGCAAGGGTTTGTCTGTGTTTCTCTTCCTGTGCCCTATAAAAATAATGCAAAAAGTCTTTAAAAAGGTTTCCAAAAAAAAAAAGAGTTAATAACATTATTTAACGTCTAACTATTTAACTTTTCTGAGAATGTCCCCAAAAAACTTTTTTTTTTTTTTTTTTAGTTTTGGAAACATATGCACAAATGTTCAGTAATTTTTTTGCCCTCAAATAAACAGCTACACTGGGTATAAAACACACACACACACACACACACACACACACAATGGGGACTTTGCAAAGACCCCTACTGTTTTTAAATACAGCTAGTTATAAATACTATAACCTAAGACTAACCCAACAACTAACCCTAACAGAAAACTTGTTTTACAATAAAAAAAAAGTAAAATAAGGATGTCCATAGGTCCAGTTGAAAACTCGCTAATTCTGTTGTGCATCTTTTTACACAGGGGTGATGTTTACAGACTGTATGGCACTTCACATTCATGTCACCTTATCAGTTGAAAAGCCATCTCACAGTAAACAACATTTTGCTCAGGGGATTTAGGGGAAATTTTGCTCAGTTTTTTTGTTTCAGTTTCTGTTTCTCAGAAGACAAAGTATTTATGCTAAAGGCTTATTGCAGTTCCTGCAAACAAATGATTCCGCATTTTGTACGTTAATGTAGGACAGACACGCCCTGTTTGTTCATGTTTAAAATAGTTTAATTTTCTCCAACAAGAGACTCTTCTTGTAAATCAGATGATTACTAAGGCAAAACCAGCTTCTCTTCTCTATTCTATTGCAAAGGGAAAAGCTGTGCTCTGAGACTATGTTGATCCATGTAATTTACACTGATTAATATAAGTGACATACTATGTACATGCAAATCAATCATAAATCCAAATTATAAGTCAAAATTATTTATGAAAGCCAGAAGTGGCACTAAATGAAGAGCCCTTTGGGAGCCGGAAGAGCTAAATGATTCGGCTCCCAAAAAGAACCAGAATTCGCATCACTAGTTGATAGGATAACTATGAAGTACAACAAACTGAACGACTTGATATCATAATTTTATGTCATCATGTCACATTTTTAGTGAGCAATCAGCTTGGTGAAACTAAAAGTATATCTCCATGTATGCATTAATCATGACACCTGCAGTGTTTACTGAGCTTTGATGAATGACGACCCAAAAATAATGTAACTGTGTCACCTCATTTCAGTGCACCACTGCACGCCAGTCCTATTCACCATGATGCCAGTTTTCCTTTTACATACTCTGGCAATATAACCAGGTCAGTCCTTGTAGGCCATTGTAGCCATTATCAGGATTGTCAAGCTGAATTATGATATTTGCTGTATCGCTAAATGATAAGAGACAACACTGGGACTGAGTAACATGTTGTTCCAAATAACACCATGCTGTATTGTAGGACATGCCCTGTACAAACACACTTTCATTTTCTTCAAAAAGGAAATCTTCTTGTAAATCATGTGATTTTCCAATGCAAATCAGCTCTGCTTCTGTTACAAAGTATCGTCACTGCAAAGAGAACAAGTTTAATCTAAAATGATTATGGTGTAGAGGGCCTGTGATCCATCTAGTCAGCCTATAGTTCAAATAATCTAATAAAAGTTATTAGGCTCATTAAATGCATTGCAAAATAGATTTGGATTGAAACTAGCACACTCAAACACCTTAATATGAAATTTTATCTGAAGACGATTATTATATAGTTTTCATTTGTTGACATTTACATTAAACTGTACATGATTAAGGCCAGTTTTTATCCTCAGCTGACACTTTTTTTCTTGGCTCATTCACAAGGACAGTTTTTTTTTATGCCAAGCAAATATTTTGAATTAAATATGAAAAGATTGTCTCTAATCAAATTACTTTTCCTGTAGAAACTGTATCAGTAAAAATATTTTTACAAAAAAAATCTTAATTTTATTCCCCCAGATTATTGAATATTAGGGTACCAATACAACCCAAACTCCGGAAATGCTGGGACGTTTTTTAAATTTGAATAAAATGAAAACTAAAAGACTTATCATATCAGCCCATATTTTATTCACAATAGAACATAGAGAACATAACAAATGTTTACACTGAGAAATTTTACACTTTTATCCACTAAATGAGCTCATTTCAAATTTGATGCCTGCTACAGGTCTCAAAAAAGTTGGCACGGGGGCAACAAAAGGCTGAAAAAGCAAAACATTTTAAAAAGATTCAGCTGGGAGAACATCTAGCAACTAATCAAATGAATTGACATCAGGTCTGTAACATGATTAGCTATAAAAGGGATGTCTTAGAGAGGCAGAGTCTCTCAGAAGTAAAGATGGGCAGAGGATATGTGAAAGAGTGCATAAAAAAATTGTATATTACTTTAAAAACAACGTTCCTCAACGTCAAATTGCAAAGGCTTTGCAAATCTCATCACCTACAGTGCATAACATCATCAAAAGATTCAGAGAAACTGTGGAAATCTCTGTGCGTAAGGGACAAGGCCAAAGACCTTTGTTGGATGCCCGTGGTCTTCAGGCCCTCAGATGACACTGCATCACTCATCGGCATGATTCTGTCATTGACGTTACTAAATGGGCCCAGGAATACTTCCAGAAACCACTGTCGGTAAACACAATCCGCCGTGCCATCTGCAGATGCCAACTAAAGCTCTATCATGCAAAAAGGAAGCCATATGTGAACATGGTCCAGAAGCGCCGTCGTGTCCTGTGGGCCAAGGCTCATTTAAAATGGACTGTTTCAAAGTGGAAAAGTGTTCTATGGTCAGACGAGTCCAAATTTGACATTCTTGTTGGAAATCACGGACGCCGTGTCCTCCGGGCTAAAGAGGAGGGAGACCTTCCAGCGTGTTATCAGCGTTCAGTTCAAAAGCCAGCATCTCTGATGGTATGGGGGTGCATAATTGCATACGGTATGGGCAGCTTGCATGTTTTGGAAGGCACTATGAATGCTGAAAGGTATATAAAGGCTTTAGAGCAACATATGCTCCCCTCCAGACGACGTCTATTTCAGGGAAGGCCTTGTGTATTTCAGTAGGACAATGCAAAACCACATACTGCAGCTATTACAACAGCATGGCTTCGTAGTAGAAGAGTCCGGGTGCTGAACTGGCCTGCCTGCAGTCCAGATCTTTCACCTATAGAGAACATTTTCCGCATCATTAAAGAAAAAGTTCCAACACCAAAACTCCAGAAACTCAACTGTTTTGAAACGAAGAGGAGATGCCACACCATGGTAAACATGCCCCCGTCCCAACTATTTTGAGACCTTTACCAGGCATCATATTTGAAATGAGCTCATTTTGTGGATAAAAGTGTAAAATGTATCTGTTTAAACATTTGTTATCTATGTTCCATTGTGAATAAAATATTGGCTCATGTGATTTGAAACTCTTTTAGTTTTCATTTTATTAAAAAAAAAAAAAAAAACGTCCCAACATTTCCGGAATTCGGGTTGTATGTCATTTCTCGTCAAGTCATTTAAATGGCATATTTCAAGAAAAAAAATAATATCATGATGTTCTGTATATAAGCAACAAACAAAAATAAAAACAAATGGTACATGGTAAAAACATGGTGATTCAGTTAGCAGATCAGTCACGTTACTTCTGACAATCAACATCTGATAATTCTGCCAGACATTTAAAGGTAAAATGATAAAATGAGTACCAAAAAAAGAATAAGACCCAGAATAAAGCCAAATAAAAACACCCAGGGTGGAATGTTCCTTCTTTTGACATTTGTTTGTTCCAGCAAGCTGTTACATTGTGCTTCTGGGTCATCATTATCTGAATCTGACTCATTGTGTGAAGTTACATGGGGCTCAGGGTCCATTTGTTGTCTTTCTGTTGAGAAGATCACATGATCTCCATGAAAATGAAGGTTTGGTGTTGGTTGATCATCATAATCAGCATCAGCAGCATTTTCAGTTACAGTACTGATGTGATCAGTGTCCTGCTGTGGCAGATTCTCTTTAGGCTCCATCCAGATGTGAATTATGATCTTAGTCTGAGGTCTTTTGCATTCACTGCATCTTTGTGTGTGTTGCTCTGGTCTTGTGTATGTGGATTGACTGACCTTCGAGAAAGTGGTCCCAGTAATTTCTGAATCTGAAAAAAAAAAAAAATGTAATAAAACAATCAAGTAAGAGTTTTTCACTGTCCATAGAACATACAGCATGTGCACTGCTCTTCATGAGTTATGCATGACATTTGTGTTAAGAATTGCATTGAAATAATGTGAAACTGTCTTAATTTAAATTGTTTATTTTAATGTGGTCATTTTATTTTGCTGCATGCACACTACATGATGAATCGGTGACGGGGGTCACACATTACATATTTCAATGGGAAGAATCGCCGACATCTCTGCCTGGTCAACAAACTTTGTGTGTTTCACAGCCAAACACACTTGAGAAGTGGTACAGGATATAATGCAAGATCACACGTGAGAGAGGATTCATGCCTCTCAAAAATGGTAGCATGAAAGAAGCTTGAGATCCAAGTTGTCTGTTTGCTTAATTGCAGTGAAAAATAAATAAGAATATGAAGGAAATTCATGAAATTTACTCCCCCTGAACTTTCCCTTGTTACTGCAGATATATAAAAAATGAGACTTTCTTTATCATGGATTGAGAATGTGAAGATCTGCATGAACACACCTTGTATGTCTGCTGGAGACGGATGATTATCCTCTCCAGGCTGCTGGACCATTATCAGTGTAGTGTCAGGCGTCTTCCCTACTGTTGTCTGTGGAAGACTATTATCAGGCATGATTTCAGGCTTTGCAGATGGGATATTGACTTCTGCACTTGAAGAGATGTCTGGTATTGACTGATCGTCATGATCAGCATCAACAAACTGCATTTCTGCATCTGGTGTCATGGTTTGTGGGGGATTTGATTCTTTCTCAGTGCTGGAATCACTAGTGTTCAAAGGAGCCTCTATATCTTCTTCACTGATCACTGTAGACTCATGATTGTTTTCAGTACCAGTACAGATGTGATCAATGTCCCGCTGTGGCAGATTGACAGAGTCTTCAGGGCTGCTGTTCCTTTTAGTCTGAAGACTTTCAGATTCGACTGATCTTGGGACTGATCTTTCTTGCTGAACATTCACTTTATGTCTGTGTTGCTTTGAAGCTGAAAACAAACAAGAATGTTAAAAAGATGTGTATATGGTATTTAGGAAGTAGGGAGTCTGATGCCATTTCTGTTTGAAACTTTATTTATTGTATATGATTAGGTAGTTAGGGAAGTTGATTGTTGACTTGTTTATTTATTTCCTTTTTTCTTGCATACTTCATGTTTGCCAACTCTGGTTCACTGGAAAAAAAACATGCCTTTTGAAAAATGTCTGCCCTTGTAATCATAATTTTTGTGTAAAGGAATAAAAGTTGCTGTGTTTTACATTTTAGATTGAAACAGAGCTGGATGTTGTGCATATAGGTACATTTTAAGGTTTTGCAAAAATGTATGTACACTGTCAGAAAAAAGGCACCATGGAGGTACAATTACCTATAACTGCACTTTTAAAGGTCCACTATAAGTCCTTAGGGTACAATTATGTAATATAATATAATTATAATATAATATAATTATGTAATAAAGGTACAAAACGTATTTGTCAACAGGTACAAAAAGGGTACCACCTCAGTGACAGACAATTTTTTATTTATTTTTTAAATTATTTTTTTTAAGAGGCATCTTTTTCCAGTTAGTCTGGTTGATATTTTCCCAGGTTAATAGTTGCCTTGATGCTTGATTAATAGTTTTGAGGTTTGGCCTTGTCTATAAGAATACTTATTGTATATGCAAAAAACACATGTGAGCAGATATTACATGATATTTTAACCTTTGCTTACATTTTCTGAAGAAAAGCATTAATGCCTCGCCAGAGATGAAATGCCTGTTAAATATAAATGCCACATTTAAAGAGACACTACAATGATGACATCGCAGTGCATTTGTACAGCATCCTGGCTGCCAATAAAAACTACACAATTCATGTTTATTTGTGCAGTGCTTTCTACAATGCATATTTCAAAGCGGAATATGTTTATACATTATGATTAAGAGTAATGTGTTATCAGAGGTGACTGTCAATGTAATGCCATATGGCAGAAATGCACCGTTCTAAGACTATACACATCATTCAGTACAACACTAATATAAATGTTAAAGTAGATTTGTGTGTGTGTGTGTGTGTGTGTGTGTGTGTGTGTGTGTGTGTGTGTGTGTGTGTGACATAACGTTTCTCACCGTTTCTTATAGTTTGGGTGAATCTGCAAAAACACAAGGGCTGAGATTACAAAAGTATTTCATTTCTTTACAAAAATGCACTCAAATTATTCAAGAACTTAAATTGAGAAATAGTTCATTCTTGAGTTCAGACAATGTGACCTACTGTATGTCCACACAAAAAGAGCTATTGGACATGTAGCTGTGAATCTGTTTAATTAATATATTAATACAGAGAGAGAAAACTCACACTCTTCACCATGGAGTCATTAAATCGATACCACTGCTCGTCCTCATATGATTTGATGTCAGCATAGTAGTGTCCACCACTGAGAGAACCAACATGATTGACCACAGCATACAGCTCATAATCGTGAAGAACATCACTCTCTTCCTGAAAGAGATACAGATAATCAATATGCTAAAAATATACAAAAACAGTATATTTAAGTATTTGCATTGTGCAAATTCATGGTCTGACTGATAAAATATCCATATACTCTATAGAAATGTCTATATAATGTTTAAATCCATACAATTTAATCAACTGCACAAATTCACAGCAGCTGTATGTTATAAATGAAGTGTCAGAATCAGAATGAATGAATGAACGCATAGATAGATAGATAGATAGATAGTCAAACCTGAGCTGATAACTGAAGAGGAATTTTAACACGACAGGTATTCTTCATGTAAGTCATGTAGATGTAATCCAAATAAAACCTCTGCAAATGTAGAGTCAGGACCTCCGGCAATTCAGAAATGGTGCAACACTGTAAGAGATATTTTCTCTTTTAGAATAATGTAATTTTTAATTTTCAGTTGTAACAACCTTATTAAAATACTATTGTAATCTGTATAGTCAATGTTATTCTCTCAGGTAGTGTTTCTCAACTAACAATATATCCCACAATAAAAATGTAATGTTCATTTCCTTTAACACTTAAGAGATTTGGTCATTCTACTGAAGCTCTAAGACCCTAATGTAAAGCTGAAAACAACTTCACATAAAATGTGAAGCTCACCATTTCCATGTCCATCATTTCTTTACAGTTTTCACAGTACAGCTGATCTTCTCCATCCATAAGCATTACTTCAAACTGTGCTTCAAAACTCTTTTGCTGAAACATACAGTTTCACATATGTGAACTAATTTTTAATCAGAGGAATATTTTATTGCTCAACAGGTTTCTCTTTCAATGCTTAGAAGAGTCAGGTTTGAAAAGTTATCCTATGGCTTCAGAGCACTTGGAAGATTGCTAGATCACAGGTGAAAGCATATTTCACCTGGAAACTGTAGCAAATTCTTCCTGTGGTCGCGTAGATTATTGCTGAAATGTAAAGTACGTGAAACACTTTTTTTTTCCAATGAGGTAAGCTTGGAAATAATATTTGTTTTTATATGCTGCTTTGGTAAATGACTTGTAAATGGCTGCATTTATTAACTCATAATACTTACTACATCAATTTTATTTTGATCAGAGTCCATAGCAATGGGCAAAGAAAAAAATGAAATTGTTTCCTCAATGGGATCATGGTTCGCATGTAAACAGGTGGTTACGTTTTTCTTGTTTCCTTGGAATACCTGTAAAATACAGAAAATAAAAACATGGTGTGTGTGTTACACTATTACACACAGCAGCTTATAAATAGACCATTAAGTGTTCAGGTCATACCTTGGCTGGTTCAGGCTCAATCATACTCAGAATCATCTGATAACATTCTGCTGCATCCTGCTGTTCACAAACTGAAATAAAACTGTGCTTAGATCTTTTGTGGATACAGCCTCATTAAAATTGAAAGTGATTTCAGGAATACTATGTGGTTATGTAAATTGTTTGTCACTGTTTTACTGTGCATGTGTACCAATAAGACATTCACAAGTTTGTGTGCCCATATACTCTTAGCATTAGTGGTAAACATGATGTCTGCAATGGAGGGGCTCAGATAAAATATTCTACTCGAGCTGCAATAGCCCTCCCTATATAGACATAAAGATAAATAAATAAATATGCATAAAAAGGAGGAAATAGGGAGGAGGAATGCCGAAAGAACTAACAACGGAAGTGGTAAGAGGCTGTTTTTTTTATACTTGGAAATCAGTTGGAAGAATAAATGGGCGTACTCCTCCCGAAATTACATTAATATCTTCACTATGTCAAAACTCATAAACATAAGACTCATTTACATAATCACCAACTTACCATTTCCAATGCCTAGAGCGTTTGTGACTTCATTTGTAGTGGCACATCCATTTTTAGACTCTAAACAGCTGAATAACTTTTTAAGTTCAAAAGAAACACTTTTCATCTCACTTTCATTTAACCTGTGGAGCAACACAGCATTTATCATCATAACTATGATCGTGTGTTATAAAATATCATAATCTTGCAGTTCAAATATACAAAGCATACTTCATGATGGCTTTTCTGAACTCCTCTGTCATGAAGAGTGGTTGCAGAACAGCATTCAGATAGCATGTGGCTCCCTGATTCACCAATCCACTGTAGCCTTCAGAAGAAAGGACACTTCGAAAGACTTTAAATTTCAGCACTGCAGCAAAGGAAATTATAAATGAAAAGCAATATAGACTCTGATAGCTCATGATATCGACCTCACAATACAAATGCATAAATGTACACACATATATATATATATATATATATATATATATATCAGGGTAAAGACAACATTTTGTGGGCAATAGCTCAGATCAAGAAGAGGGGCACCAACTTATGTCAATATACACTTCACTTTCATGTCACTTCATCACAGTTTAGGACATATCTTATGAACTTACTTTTAGTTCCTGAAACTTCATTCTGCATATAATACTCGTCTTTATTTTGGTCTTTGTTGTGTTGTATGTCATTTCCAGCTTTGTTTTGAACACTGGAGAAAATATTCTCTTGTTTATCAGCATTGTCCAAAGATGTGGAAGTGTCTAGTATTTAAAAAACAAAATCATGAACAAAAAGAGAAATAGCACAAATGTCAGTTTCAGTGCTTTACTATGTATAGCCAATTGTTGTAATGTATGTACTAGGGTCCATCAGTCAAAATTCAGTCCCATATTCAAGATGACCTCTTTGAATTACTGTTCTCAAATGTGTGTTACATGTTATTGCTGTGTGAACAATGTATCATGCTCCTACTCTCAGGTATCGTAATAGTGATCAGTTGTTTATCCCTGATCTCTTCAGGTGTGGTGCTGGCCTCCGTCTCACCCATTACTGTGTAGGATAAAATATTGTAAATATAAATAAGCATTTAAATAAAAAATTACAAGAAAAAGTTAATACTACCATAAAAAGAATATTGATATTTTCTTTCTCCCTGTCATTAAAAAGTCTTAAACTTTGTAAAAACAGCTACAGGACTGTATGTGTGCAGACGCGTAGTGTTTCTGTACAAAGTCACATCGCCACCTACTGGCCTGGCATGAAGAATACAGCGCTTGGAGTCGTTTTGCTTTGACTATGTTATCATCTGTACATGAAACTTTTCAAAATCGCAAGCGAAAAACGCATTTGTTTTTAGTACATCATTGTCGTGTAAACGTACCACTTGTTTCCTAGTGTGTGCCTGTTTGTTAACATGTTCCTTGTTAATTTACTCATTAAGTCCTCTTTGTTTATACCCCGTTTAGCTGAGTTCCTTGTTCGTTTTTTGTCTATATTATTGTGCTTGACGTTCATGTATTTGAGATCTTTGCTTTGTATTATTGAGATCTAAGCCTCTGCTCTCTCTGTGCTTGCACACTGTGACAAATCTAGGCTAAGCAACAATAAGAACAGTGCAACAAACTGGGGTACTCTGCACACTGATAATAAGGCCAAGATAATAGCTCATAAATATTGTTATAAATTTCCTGCATCTTATGCGTATTTAGTTTATTTATTTAAGACAATAAGGAGGATAAATTATCATTCCCTTTCATCTTTTTTGATGGTGTCTCCAATTGATCTTGTTGACCTGTTAAAAAAAAAAAAAAAATTAATTAAAAACATTGACAGTTTTTGAACTTTAATTATTGTAGACCATGTTTCATAACATTCATACATTTAAAGAAGAAGAAAAAAAAAAAAAAAAACTTTTCCAAAACGGTTACCTTCAGGTGATAATTCATGTCCTTCCCAGTCATTGTCCGGTGGACCTTTGTGAGGAGTCTCTTGATGCTGAAGAAACTCAGAGTTCTTGTTGAAATCTTCTTTTCCTCGCTTTCTACAAGGATTTGACAGGCAGCTGTCTGAATTATTCATCCTGATCTTCCAGCTGTCCAGGTGGTTAATATATTTAGGCAAAATAATGACCGGTGAATATTGAATTTTGAGGAAAATGAAGATGGGGAGTCTTTTCAGCTCTGAAACATTAAAATCTAAGAAAATATATACATATTCAAAATTAGATCACATTGCATTTACATTGTTGTATGTTTATATGGTTTAAAATTGTTTTATAAGTTTCTGATTGTCAAGAATGGTTAGTCACATTTGGGCATGGGAATCATTTATGCTTGTTAATTTGTCTTGCCCGTAGTTCATGTGTTAATAAGTCTGATTAGTAAAGCTGAAGGGGATAAAGGCTTTCTCAAGTTAAATAGTCCTAGTCCTGTTGGCTGACTTCTACAGGACATTCGGGATCCTATAGTGTGTTGGTCTATATTTGTATTCAGAATGTTTTCAAATACGTACTGAGGGGATATAAAAAAAAGCATGATTTTCCAAGTTTGGCTGAGTGACAGCAGATAAGAGGAGAGTTTTCTTGTATGTTCTCTCACAATGTCAATAATAGAACATCCAAGGGCTGGATTCACGAAACATTCTTAGGAATCAAATTCTGTTCTATTCTATTCTATACCTCCGTTTACTTCTTACTTTCTAACTTGGGTTAGAAAAAAAGTTGAAATTGTGTATTATTCATACTTATATGCACAGGAAAGTGCATATGAATGGAACAGACAGCTGCATCTTGAAAGAGGCTCGACTATTTTAACCTGACACATTAAAAAGAAACACGAGAGCTGAATTCCCGTCAAGCCAGTATGCCAGGAACTGCATACTTAATACTGGATACTATCTGTTTCCAGTGTATTCTAATGGATTCTAGACAGGTACATGACTGAACACCATCAGTGGGCTGGGCCTGTAGTGTGATGATGTATAACTATTCGTCGATGTTATGCTCTGGAGCATTTGCCCATGTGACATCACAAATCCCACAATATCCAAATAAACAGTTTTTGGAGCTTAATTAAATAAATGCTTGGTTTATAATGATGAGGAAGTTTTAAATTTCGTAACTCCTTTCTTAAGACAATTTTCGTGAATCTGGCCCAAGGTGAAGTACCTCACAGACAAGGGAATATCTATCTATATGTGCAAGTAAACATTAAAATGCAGATGCTGACATCACAGCATTAGCGTTAAGTGTACCATTTAACTTCTATAAAGCTGCCAGATAACAAGAACGATTTTGATATCTATTTTCCTCAAAAGAAGAAGGCAGTAATAACATGTACTGCTAAATATAGCGGTTGTTTTTGGTATAATTAATTGTGTATTGCAATTATTCATATGCTGTGATTGTAAGAATGAAAAAGTTGGGCTTATGAGAATTTACCTTGCAAAATAAAATCTTCACATATGTTTGGAAGACATTTGAGCCTACATTTCAATCCATCAACAAGAAAACCGTATGTTAGTAATCACATTAAGTGGAAACAGTACTTAGAAGCATTACAGAAGTCTTACAGAAGCTATTGCTAAAATTGCACCTACTGTATTTGGCTTCCTTTTCCAACTTCCTGGAATTTATTGCTGCAGAATGAGTATCTGTATTTGATTGCAGGTCGATGTACACTTGGTTGTAAATGTTTTCGGACCACAGTACAAATCATATCCTTTTAGAGAGACACACAAAACTGCAAGATAGAGAGAGATTTGTTTGAATACACATCAAATATTATATGACAAATCCCTAACTAACCTTTTCTACAGCAGGTTTTGCTCTCACTCACAGATCACAAACAGATATTGAAACAATCAGCTGTAAGTCAATATCAGTGGGAGACTGATTTACAATCATTTTAAACTTTTTTTTTTTTTATCTACAAAATATGAACAAAATTTGAATCTATACGTTTATTGTGTTACGGAAGGAGACTCACACAGAGGATTAGAAAAATAGCAATAAAGTTTATTTTCAACACTGAGTGCAGGAGATTCGGGGAGGTGAGTAATAACGCTGAATATAGTCCTTTAAGGGAGAGGAGGAGAGTAACCCTGTCACTGGTCCTCCAGGAGATCGTGGAACCGGGGATAGAGGACAGCACACACCTCAGCTGATGGGGAAACGGAGCTTTCACGGAGTGGATGACTGGAACGTACTGGGGAATGGAACACAGGAGAACACAATGGAGGTTCTGTGTGTATGTGCTGTACATGTGGAAGAATTGACAATAAAGCAGACTTGACTTGACTTGACAAGAAGGTAAGTCTTTCGATGTATCTCACTGATAGGAAATAGAGGGAGTCCACTTCGTAGAAACGAGACCGGGCACTGGAGTGGCGTGAGGTGTGTGCTTATGAATGGTGGCTGATGATGATTGCCAAGTAGTGACAGGGGCGTGTGATCAGTATTCA